CGCCTCCGAAAGCAATGACCGCATTTATTGTGTTTCGTCTGCTCACTCTGAGGCGCAAGTAATTTATTATATAAGCCTATGAAAAGTATTATATTCAGGGGTTTCTCCTACTTTTCATAGTGATGTATAGCCTAGCGCCAGTTCTACCAGGAAGTGACGATTTTGTTCTCTTTGACTCGTTGGATGGAAACGGTGCTTATTCGCAAATGTTTTATGCGATATTTAAATGTTGCGCATAACTTAAATTCGCAACTATGGATGGAAACCCGGCTACTGACGTCAAACTTGGCATCTTGCCGCTTAATCATCTTTAAATGTATGCAAATGTGAAACAGATTTGAGTGTATTACTTTCGGTGTATAAAGACGTAATTTTTGGTCTGTTTCAGCTTTCGTGTGACGTCAGAGGACTAAAAATGCATGCGTTCGACCGGCTCTCGATCCTCTTTCATTGTATGCAGAAGTTCTCCTTTTTCATTCCCAGAAATAATAAAACAAATTCGAGGGCGAGTAAATGACAGAATGCTAATTTTTGTAATTTCTCAAAGATTAGCGTGTAAAAGTCCCGACGAGTCACAAACGATCCCTTCGAAAAACAGATTGTACATTGTTATATTTATTGTGTGGTTTTTTTATGTTGTAGTTGTTGTTGATGTATCGATGTTTCTCGATTGTGTACAGATATCATCTTGTGGATTTCGCGGTGTGTGACATTGTGACTGTGGTGATGTTCCCTTTCCAAACACACGGCCAAACGATCATCGCTTTTGAATCGATTCGTTTCTCTCTTAGTTTAATAGTAGCTGGTTGGTTTAGTTTGTTTGCATCCTCAGTCCTGACTGAGTTCTCTGTGATACCTGACTCTAGATCAGCTCTCTATAGGCTAGTTTTACCAACCAGATGTAGACTTTTATAACGTCCCCAGACCAGCACCCAAGGGCTTCAGATGGGCTCACGTCATTCACGGTGGTTTTCATTAGATCTCGTATTGTGTGCATGTCTGTACGGTTAGTCTATGATCGGTAGATTCGTCTCTGTCAAAGGCCTCTGTTAAGCACTGTGCTTTGCGCTTGAGATCAATTTACCAGGTGCATTTTTAAAACACAGCGCCTCCACTGGAGAACATCGGTAAAGCCATATTATCATCGCTCGCCTTTTCCATGTTTCCTTTTGCGAAGGCGTATTCGGATGAACTTCCTGTTGCAGCAGGAAATGATGCGGAGCTCGACGGATTAAGAATTATTATCTTTGCAATGTCTTTCTCTAGTTTAATGCCACTTCTTTTCCTCTATGCAGAGATTATTGGGCACTGTGCACGAGCGTCTCCTCTAGACACGTTTGCGACGTCGTTAATAACCACTAGATGCAAGTATCACGAAACAGTGCGATGCTGAAGCCATAGACGCATAATCATGTCGTTTGATTGTCAAATTGGATGTCACGGTATTAAAACATATCAGCCTTGATAATGCTGCAAAAGCTTCGTAATGCTGAAGATTTGTCGCTTTTGGCGTAACAGAAACACGACTCGAGAGGTGTTTTATCCTACGTTTAGCTACCGTGTCCAAAACAAGGACCACTGAACCTAGCCGAATTAAAAATTAACACAACAATAAATCCTGCTGAAAACCTGTCCACTTCAGAATAGTCATAAGAAGAAAAAAATGCATAAAGAAAATGAAGCATATTACGATTTTTGTCTTTGTGAAGCACATTTAAAACCCCCATTTTCACCTGGATATCGTAAAACACACACGATACGTCTAGGGTTTTCATGACTTGATTTTGGTTCTTTGCTTTATAATAATAGCATCGGGGGGGAGGATGTGCTTATTTGTCATGAAAATTATGTTGTGATTCAGAAACCTAAAAATAGGCTTCATTTTCTTTTGCGTAATATGATTTTCTGTCTTTCTTTCTTTTTTTTAAGTTCTGACTGATGTTTTGTTCTTAAGTTGTACATACAAACATATTGTGGAACTTTATTTTATTTATTTCTTGACTTCACATTCCTAAACCATTCAGATGGAAATGTAGAGAATGTTGAATAACTGAAGATAGACGTTTTAGACAAGTTGATGTTGCAGAAATGGAAAGGCGAAAAGAAAGACGAATAGAGAGACGTATCATATGTGGATAATATAATGCACATTCGTAGCACGAAAATACATTAGATTCTAAACTATGAAGCACATGTGAAATGATTGTGTGTGTAAGAGCTGTTAGAGCTATTCTCGTAATGTTTACATTGAGGACTAAAGCGTGCTCTCGTGCCACGACGAAGTGCCAACTCGATTTGTGTTTGTGCAAAAGCTTAAAACAGACAGTTTAATATGCAGACATTTATGACTCTCATGATAAGAAGCTTACATATAGTTTAAAAGAGTTTAGTTCTGCTGTGTGTGCAGTGTTTGGGCTGGAGATGCAGTGCTGTGATGAAGTCGGGTAGAAAATAGATACTGAAGTGGTCGGTCTTAGCTGAAGGACTTTGTTTTTGCATTTTTTGGTCATTGCATATTTATTTATTGATGTGATGCTCTTTTTTATTTTTCTAAGTCGTTTCATAAGACATGTTGGCTTGAACCGCTTTGCAGATCGCTGATGTTTGAGTCTCATTAATCGTTAAACCTCCACAGGCGGATTGCTGTTAGCATTTCTTCAGTAATTATTTTTGCTTTCTTTCTATCTTTTGTCTTACGTTGCAGCAACAAAGTGATAGACACTTAGTATGGAATTATGTTTGTTAAATATGCCTGCAGATGTGGCTTCTCTCTTGGAGTGAATTAGGCTGAACCGAAATGATGCCGTTTTGTCATTGTGCTTAAATAAATATATAAATATTATATTCTATATTAAAATATATTTGCTAACCTATACAGATCTGTGTGAGTCAGTTCTTTGCCCCGCTCTCAGATAAAGTGCACAATTAAATGATGTGATAATATAAAATGCATATACTTAGAATTTATGGTAATAATATATTTATTCGGGCTTGAAAAAAAAAATAAGTTGCATGAAAAAAAAGTTGCATGTAAATATATTTTAAAATGTATTTTTTAATTAAATATTTATTGAATATTTTCTATGCATGTTGTGAAGAAGAACCTGTAGTGTTAAACGAATGCACATGTTCCACGTTTCAATTGTTTCATCTGTCATGATGCAATGAAACGTCATTTTTGTCAAAGCGCTCTTACCAAGCTTGCACTCTTTACTCTCAGCCTATAATGCAATAAATCACAGAGATTAGCTATATTATGAAATGCTATCATGTGGGTTTTGGTGAAAATGGCCTAGGATGGACATCCCTTTTGGCCACTACTATATGTGTGTTAAAGCTCTTTGTTTGAGCTGCAGGCTGTCAGAGCTTCTGGTTTAATACTGCCCTCATGTGGACAGAAAAAAAAAGATGGCCTTATAGAGAATTTGCATGGACCTTTGAACCTTTGAAGACTGAAATAACAGACAGCTGTGCACCTTGAACAGGTTGGACCGGTCGAGTTTTCATTTTGCTTTCAGTTTGTTCTGCGTGTTAAAATCTAGTTTCCACTGACAAAGACACTTGAGGATCAAGCACAGGATGAGCCAATAAAGTAAGTTATCCATGCATGTTTTGTGTTTTACATTGAAGCGTTGTTTTGTGTCTGGAATTTGAATCTCGTTGACAGCTTTGCGTCTCACACCAGTCTGAAGTATTTGCCAAACCCGGCCGAATCCGCTTGATGAAAAGATGGCAAAACCTGCAAGTGAGTGTAGAATAACATCAACATGAAACTGCATATGAAAAATCCCTTTGTTTACTTTCTTAGTACATGATCTGCAGTACTTTACATGACTGATCAGCACATGTGATCCACCACAAACTCACATTCACATTCAGATCTGACTCCAGTCTTAATAAAACCAACTCTTGTCAAACATGTTTATTTCTCACTGGATATTAAATGTCATGCTGACCTACGCCTTTAACATTTCTCCTGAGTACTGTGTGCTTGTGGGGCATTATTTTATGCATCTAAGTTATTGAGTGAATTACTGATGAGCACATAACTCACTATTACAGCAGGTCTTTTTTTTCCACACATGATCAACACATATATTTAAATGTTATGCATTGTAGCATTGCTAGCACCATTCTCCGCTGTTCAAACTTTCTCACACACTTCCTTCATAAGTCCTTTTTACAACAAACTTCATGAGTCTTTGGATATCAGTTGGTTTTTAAGATTCAGGAAGGAACACTAGTATTGAAACTGTAAGTGGACCACACAGAGGATGAATGAAGAATGACAAATAAATAAACAAACTGCCAGCTTTATTGTTTACATTCTGTTCATATTTATGTGAAGATATCAAAAGCTGTGAAGAATTGGAACAACTGTTGAGTACATATGCAGAACAAATACAGGAGCTGTGTCGTCTTTACAACACAAAAAGGTAGCAGTCAGTGTTTTATATACAGTATGTACCTGATTTTAACTGTTATTAGCCAATCCTCCTTCGGAACCAAATATTGACCAAAACCATGAGATTTGATTTTGCTCTTTGTCATATCAAGTGAAAAAGGCCCCAAAAAAATTATAAGGACTGCGGTAGAACAAATCCAAAAGCTCTCCGAGGAAACTGAAGATCAGTCATTATATGTCTCATCTATACCCACTACTTTGGAATCAGGAATAGAATTGATAAAGAGAATAATACAGCAACGGGACAATGATTCTGATGTTGTCCAGCCATGTCGTTCCCAGAGTAAGTCTATTTCTATTATTCTTGTCTTATAAAGAAGGTACACAAGTGGAAAGTTTGTACTAGTTTGATGGACAGTGGCAGCTACTGTGAATGTGGAAACTGAATGAACAGATGAATATCTGGGTGTTTCAGGTACGGCCAGAGAAGGAGATCTCAGTGATACCGAAAGACTTGGTGAGCACTTTTGGAGAAAACAATCCACTTTGAAACTGCCTTCTCTCTCTCTCTCTCTCTCTCTCTCTCTCTCTCTCTCTCTCTCTCTCTGTCTCACACACGCACTCACTCACTCACACACACACACACCACACGCACACTCACACACACACACACACGCACACAAGATACACAAGATAGTTGTTCTATTTTTATTTTATTTTTTTCTCACAGATGTGATTCAGCATGATCAACAGATGATGGAACTCATTAAATACCAAACAAAACACCACAGAGAATCTCCTGCAGTCCTACTGATGTTTAATAACTTCAGAAGAGTGTGCCATAAAATGGGCATTAATACAGGTATGGTTTCATTCAAAATTGAAAAAGCAAGTCATACAAGCAGTCCAAACCTGGGGAAGCTACATGGAAACCACCACTCCCCCCAATGTATTCAAATGCAGAATGTCATATTTGGTCTTATGTTGGCAGTTTATCAATGGCTGATTTTCTTTCTTTTTATCCTCTCAAGCATCAAAAAGACAATGTCAAACTTGTGCCGATGTCAGGGTAAGTCAAGAGCAGTTTAGCTGATTCATTTCATTCAACCTGCTTTTAAAGCCACATTTCTGATACATTTGCTATTGTTTGGGTGAAATGGTTTGGTTACATGGAAACAAATATGTATCCAGTTCCAGGACTACGCTGAATGGGACCTGATTAAACCCTTTGTGATCTCAGAGGGTGCACAGATGAAGTACAGGTACTATATCGCTTTTATTTATTGTACATTTTCATATGTTATATACAGCAACTGTAATCCTAAATGAATCTCTGTCCAACAGACTAAAGCTTAAACCAGGCCATTATGAATGCAGCAGGACTGGTCTTCGTATTGAATGCTCCCGTTCTGTTCAGCTTGAGTATCACATCTGTGACTGGGAGTGTGTAATTGATTTTCTAGAAATGCAGCATTTTACACCGTGCGGCCCCTTGATGGATATCGCCATCATCTCAGGAAAACTAAAGGCAGTCTATCTGCCCCACTTTCTGTGTTTAGGTAATTTTCCCCAAATTTTGTACACATTTTAATGGGGTCATGGATTCATTGTTTTTACAATTTTTTTCACAAAACCTGTCACAAATTAGAAATCAAAGGCCGTTTTCTACCTTGCTTACATCTTTGCATATAAAGTAAGTACTACACTTTTGATTAACTAATCATGAAAAGTGTTTTAGCATTATATTTAGATCTAGGCTGATTGTTGCCTAATGTCTTTTGAGTGCACAAATGATCTAATTGCAACTTAATTTGAGTGCACACACACAATGTTTATAAGGGATTGATTAAGGAGTGTAGACAGTGCGCTGTGTGATAGACAGCTCAGACGATTATAAAGGGAGTGGTTTTGCATGCTTTCTATATATAATTTGAACAAAATATAAATGACAAATTATTTCCATTCTACGAAGAGTAAACAAAGCAAGCAAACAAACACAAACAAACAACATTGATCTGTGTCTAAACAGGCAGTTTTGTGCTGATGTATTCATCTCTATTACATATTAAAAACCTGGAAGTTTTGAGTTCGGAAACTCACAGTGAGTTTATATAGTAGCCTATAAAGGCCCGATAAGGTAACATTTTAATTCATGACCCCTTTAAAATAAAAAATGCAATCAGTACTTGTTTCTTTTGCATCTGATCATCATCAGCTAATTTAATATGTTGCAGGTGGATCTTCCATTAACGATGAAGTGAGGGTTGTTCATGTTGAAGACAGTGGGATTTCATTTGAGAAATGCACGATAACTAGATTCCATGCCAAACTTCTGAACCACTCCTTCTCCCCGAAAGGTGTTCTTTTGAGGAGCGGCTTCTCTGTGAATTATCACTGCGAAACATTTATCTATGAAACTCAGAAATCATTCCTGACACTTCATGTGTACTTGATTCCAAGTGAGAAAAAAATGATAGAGGTAAGTGATATCGAAATGAACAGTGAAACACCTGCTCAATGTCTTGGCTTTATGGAAGGGGGGAAAAAATGTGTGACATTTATTTTCTGTAGGCTGTTGAAAACAATGAGATTAAAAGCAAGACTAGACTCATCTCAAAGCCAGGGCCCGTATCCTCGCTTCAGACGAAGACTTGGTATTCACTGAGGACGCTGAATGAAAATAAGGAATCTGAATGCAAATTTGAAGTTCAACCCAAAGTAAATATTTTAAAATATTACAAAATATTACATACATGTGGCTTATTTACCTTAACAATGTTCCTCAAATTGCAGTACGCTGTATTTCCAGGTGATCTAGTCAATTGCTGTCTCATTTTAAGGTTTCACCCTCTGAAGGTCGCATTTGTTAGCTGCATTTGTTATTAAGGCTTCCTCTTTTCAGAAACAAATGCACAAATGCAACCTACAAAGGTCAAAATGACACACACCAATTTACCCGACCACGTGAATATACACAGTGTACAACAGTATTAAAATCTGTTCAAACTTTAAACCTGTAAATCTAAGTCCATAAACCCTCCTACCTCACTGCCCAAACACAAAACCCCAATCCAGCACTCTTACCCTCAACAAACCATTCTAGCCCTTTCCTTTCTCTCCATTAGCAGTTAGAGCTCAAGTACAAGCCCATAAAACCAGACTTCTTTGAAGTATTCATTGATTCACCAAAGGACTTTCACCTTCAGCTGATGCCACAACATCACGATGAAGGTGTATGGGATGCCAAAATACGTCAAGGTAACATTTGTTATGAGCTTCATTGTTATGGGGCACGGACCATATGTGCAAAGTAGTAGGTTCTCACACCTATGTTCTGACATTTAAATAATTCAGATATGTGTGTTTCTTTCAGATGATTACAGCCAGAGAGTTTCTTCAGTGGGTATGTGTAGTGTGCAGTGCTTCATTCTTTTCTTTTCTTTGTAATTTAGAGTCAGTTTGGCTGTGTGCTTGAGTATATCGTCCTTTATTTGGTGAAATTTGTAAAAACATTTGAGAAAACAAAATTACACTGAGCTTCTGAACTAGTGTTACTGTTATACCGTGTTATATGCAGATGGATTTCCCAAGCTCAAGCAGGGTTAGTTCACCCACAAATTAAATTTAAAGTTCTATCTTAATTTTTGTCCATTAAAACTCCTTAAAACACAATTTTCAAGCTTTAAAAAGCACATAAGTCATTCTTCTGTTGGAGTGCCAAACAAGCAGCAGGTTTGATAGCATTTTTCAATGCTATAATGAATCAGCTCCATAGCAGATTCCAAGTGGTCACGGATATTCCACTTTAACCCATTGCAAGGTTGAAGAGATATATTTATATGATAGTGCTGTATTTCTGAGTATAAGTTACAATGCTATGGGAATGCTATTACCAACTCCGCCATATCGACAGGTACTAGTGTAAGGCTGTGAGCACAGTCCTAACCAGACACGATGCGACAAGATTCCAGCGACAAGCAATTTGTCTGTCCACACCAGACGTGACACGACACCGCGACGCGACAGAATCACTCAAATATCACAGCCATTCAGAAGCACAGAAGTGCACTACTCTCCCAATGAAATGGACAAGTTTATCATCTAATCTTCTAATGTTAAAGCTTTTTAACATTATTAAAAGAAAAAAAACTGAGTGACTGATACGATCTTTATGAAATACGCTTGTCTGTTCGCATTGAGTTCACAGTCTTAAAGGGTTAGTTCACCCAAAAATGAAAATTAGCACATAAATGACTCACCCTCAAGTCATCCTAGGTGTATATAACTTTCTTCTTTCAGACGAATCCAGTCGGAGTTATATTAAACATTGTTTTTGATCTTTCAAGCTGTTTAATGGCACTCAGTGGGTGTTGCATGCATCAGTCCAAAAACACTTAATTAAAATGCGCCCATCCATAAAAAAAAAAAAGTGTCTCACACGGCTTGCATGCGCCGGTCAGAAGTGATGCACATTTTTATGCAAATGACCTGCAGCGATTGCAGGAACTTTCTGTGTTGTGGACAGATGTATGTATATGTCCTTAGGATCTATTGTGACAAACCAGTCATTGGACCTGATTTGAATCACGATCAGCTTTAGTGTTAACTTTGATCTTCTATGTTTTCAACATGCAATTAAGCTGCGCAGATCTAGAATCAGACACAACCCCCCATTCTCAGACTGTGGGCAAGATCCTGTTGATCCGAGGTTAATGAGAACCAAACTAGTTTTTAAGCCTCTTTGCATAGACTGCAGGACCCATTGATATACATTTGGCAGAAGACTTTTGGGCACCCTCCTGTCAACATACTCGGGACCACACTTACTTTAATCGCACATACTATTTAGGAAGGATAGTATGTATATTGGGACACGGGGATTATGAATTCTTGAACTTGAAACTTGATGCTGATTGATCAGCAGTACTACACTTTCATTCAAGAAAATATCATACTGCATGTTAAATAAAAGATAACAAACAATAATCAAAGAAGAATCAAAAACTAAATACATTTCAACAATCTTGGATTTATTATGTCAAACACACAGCACATTTTTAGAGCTCCATACATTAATATGATAAAGATGCTCCAAATATAACCTTGTTATACTGCATGCATGCCACTAGATCCATTCATAGATATATTATGAAAAATAAAACGGTTATTTAAATATCAATACTGATTTATAAACAACGTCTGAGATCGTGGGGCATTCTGGTATTGCTTTCCTTATGAAGGATGCATTGAATGCTTTCCTAGAATTTGGCCAAAACTGTTGTTTATCTGAGTAATATATGCCTACATATACATTTCAATATGCAGTTTCTGATGTCTCTACACAGGTGAAGCAGAGACTGTAGAGACTGATACAGCACAGAAACAAGAAAGCTGCAAAAATGGTAAAGGTGATTATAATTTATGAAAATAGATCAGGTTGTTTCTACACAGATCCTTCATAAAGTATACTGCTTAGTGACTTTTCATGAAGGCAACATTTTGTTCATCCATGCAGGCGCTGAGTTTGTGGAGAAACACAGGACAGAGTTGATCCAACGGGTCTCACTGGTGAAGCCCATTGCAGACGACATGAAACCTCTGATTGGCAATGAAAAATACAGAATCATCTTAAAATCAGAAACAACCCATGATCAAATGAGAGAGCTTCTGGGTTTCCTGAAGACAGCTAAACTGAAAGAGAAACTTTACCAAAGTCTTAAAATACATGAGCACTTCCTTGTTGATGATTTGGAGCGTTCTGGGTAGATGCTCTTTATGTGTCAGTACAATTAATTCAATGTGGTTTATTATTATTGTAAAGCAGACGGGTCATTAATTATATAATAAGGTCTGGAGTGTAGTGAGATATGTTGTGTCTAACTTCATGAGATATACAGTTCTGATTGATTTTTTCCCCTTGTTTTCTATATTTTGACACTGAATACATTTTCAGAATAAAACCTATATGAATACATAAACACAAATACTTTAACTTTGGAGAGATTTTGGATAGATTAGGAAGGTAGATAGTATAGGCACTATACCAAAATATCTTAATTTGAATAATATGTCTCTGGTTGTGGTTTCCATAATGTGCTTGAGCCATAAAAACGGCTTTATAAACTTTTCCAGACAGCTTTATATACTTATATATATATATATATATATATATATATATATATTTATTCAGTATAAATATTGTATATCCATTGTGTCTCAAGAAGCTACATTACATGTATTTACACTGTAAAAAAAATTAATTTAAAAAAATTGTAATTTAATTTACAGCATTTCCCTGTATTTCCTGATTGCAGTAAATAACTACTTTTTACAGTAAACTACTTTAATGTGTGTATGCTGTGATATTAATGACTAGCAGGTCAATTTTAAATTTAAACTATTCATTAACTGCATAAGCTTTGAACATAATTTAACTGCATACAGTGTTGTATGATGCATACATTAATTCACCCTATTATTTCACAAAAAAAAAAAAAAAATGACACTTCTTAAACAGGTCAAAATGCATTTAATATATAACTTTTAAAATTGCATGAAAGAAATTTCATAAAACAGTGTATTTAGTAATACTTTGAATTCCAAAATAAATTGGACATGAAATTCAATAATATTAAATTACTTGAAACATATTACCATGCATAACTTTAAAACCACAAGTTAACCAACACGGTCATAATTAAACATTTCTAAAAACCACAAAGACCGATTAATTTTCACCACTTCATGAGCAGTCCAACATGCCCAAACAACAAGGCCCCAAGTGAGTCCAACAAAACTTCGGATCAAACAAAGGAGAACAGTTCAGCTCCAGATGCTGTTCCATCCCAGGATGCAAAGGGTGGCTAGAAATATTAAAAAGAACAAAGAGGACAATATATAAGATATATTACAAAACATAATAATACAGTCAGAAACAGACAGAGGAATGACAGATACAATAAAAAATACAGGAGCCAAAAGCCTGTGAAAATAGTGTGTGTGTGTTTGTTAAAATTCTCTCTCTGATAAAATAATTTACCCATTAAACTGTGGCATTAAATGCCAATATGAATATCAATATGATGTAATAGAAGAATATTGTACACATATGAATTGCATATGCCAAATATTTTTTTTTTCTGAAATAGTTTTTATTCTTCATATTACTTGTATGGCTGGGTATTTAAAAATGTAATTGAATAAGTCTGAATGAAAACTTACTCGTAAAGTAAGATCTGGGGTTTCGTACATTCTGACACGCGCACGTGATTGGACAGATAGTGAGGCTTCATTTTCTGCTGATCACGTGATTCTCTGAAAACAATACGTGCTCCGGCACAGAGCTTCGTGAGAAATTGCGCTGCTTACCCGATATGCGCTTTGAAGCTTCAGTGTCATATGTAACATCACTACTAGCCTGTATATCTCGTTTCTGTATGATCTCTGCCTGCCCTGAAGTATATCGCTTGTCTTGGATTACCCCTCTCGTCTCGCCCTGTTCGGATACTGTTTATTCCTCGCCTGGACCATCGCCTGTGTTTCGGATTACTCTTCAGTCTTGCTCTCTATATACCTGTTTGCCATTGTCCGACCCTTGCCTGTTTTGACTATGTTTTAGAATAAAGTTTTGCACATGGATCCGCACGTGTCTCGTCTCAGTTGCCCCGTAAGAGAATACTTGGCCCCACCAGTATCCAGCAGCTTTTCAAATGGAAATGGACAATGGCTAGGTATGGACACTACAATATTACTATTAACCCTTAAACAAGGCATACGATCACTGGAAAGCTATACTCAATAATTTTTAGCCACCGCTCATTGTTCAAATCTCCATGATTGTGTATTAATGGATTTTTTTTTGTGCTGGCATTAATGAACCTCTTAAGTCTAAACTAATCCATGAGGGTCCCCATTCATTGTTGATTGAGTTTTTGGACTATGCTCTGTTATCTGTCGGCTCCTCTTTTACTGTGGAAGTTGCTGAGGAGACACAGAGGCTGTTTGCAAGATGGCCGCCAGATCAGAGACTTTCTACAACATGGCCGCCGTTCCAGAGTCTTGTCCCGTCATGGCCGCTGTTCTAGAGCCTGCTCAGGTCAAGCCTGCCAAGCCAGAGCCTGCTCATGTCAAGTCTGCCAAGTCAAAGCCTGCTCATGTCATCCATGAGTCAAGTCAAGTCACAGTTGATCTTCATGAGTCAAGTCAAGTCACAGGTGATCTTCCTGAGTCAAGTCAAGCCACAGCTGATCTTTATGAGTCAAGTCAAGTCACAGGTTTGAGACCGTTTCTCCCGAGGCGGCAGCGCTTGCTTCAGCTTCTTGCATGGTGGTGGCGCCCAGTAAAGAACTCTCCCTGTTTCCTTATGATACTGATGTAGTACGTCCAGAGGTGGCGGCAACCGCTGCAGAACCTCCAGAGGTGTCAGTGGTATCTATTTATCAACTCTCTGCCTGTCCTGTCACGGCTATGGAGGCCGTCTGTGAACTCTCTGCCTGTCCTGTCACGGCTATGGAGGCCGTCTGTGAACTCTCTGCCAGTCCTGTCACGGCTAAGGAGAACGCTAATGAGCTATTGCCTTGTTCTAAATCAGCTATGGAGGCCAATTATGAGCTTTTGTCCTGTTCTGACCCAGCCGAGGAGGCTGCCTATGAACTCTCAACCCTGCCTGTTGCGGCTAAGAAAGCCGTAAATTAACATTTTGTATGCACTGTTAACTCTGTCATGACCCCAGAGACCACTTGTGAGCTGTCTGTCTATCCAGTTTCAAACTACGAGTTTGATTCTGAGCTATCTGTGTGTCCAGTTTCAACCAATAAGCCTGTGAATGAGCCATCTGTCTGTTCAATTTCAAGCGATATGACTGAATGTGAACTTTCTATCAGGCCAGTGTCTGTTAATGAACTATCTGTCTGTCCAGTTCCAGCCAAGGAGTCTGAATATGAGCAGTTTGTTTATCCAGTTTCTATCAATGAGTTCAATTTTTAGGTATATGTCTGTTCCCGGTCCTAGTTTGAGTTTCTAGTTCTGAGTCAAAGTCTAGTTTAATCCTGTTTATTGCCTTAGTCATTCGTGTCTTGATCCTAGCCTGTATATCTCGTTTCTGTATGATCTCTGCCTGCCCTGAAGTATATTGCCTGTCTCGTCTTGCCCTGTTCGGATACTGTTTATTCGTCGCCTGGACCATCGCCTGTGTTTCGGCTTACTCTTCAGTCTTGCTCTCTATATACCTGTTTGCAATTGTCCGACCCTTGCCTGTTTTGACTATGTTTTAGAATAAAGCTTTGCACATGGATCCGCACGTTTCTCGTCTCAGTTTCCCCGTAACAGCTGCGAACAGAGTGGCAAGGCCAGACAGGAAGTTGGGCTGGATTAACTCATTCTTTTAAACCAAGTTAAAAAGAGGCCTTACAAACAAACAATACGAAAATTAGCAAAGGTCCTCAAGTATACATCTCGCTAGTTAAGTTAACAGCACCGTTCAGCACGGCACACACATCCTCTGTGAGCGGGCTGCCGCTGACCGCGAGTCGCGAGACTTTAACACGCGCTTTTATTTCGGCGCCGTGTTAACAGATTACTGCAAATTCAATTTAAAATAATCACGACAAAGTGTGCTGATCAACACGTGGTTACCGTGAATATAAACCATTGTCACTGAAGCATGTAATTCTTAGGAACCCAGAGATTTTCTGCCCATAGCCGCTATGAGGCCGGGTAATGTGTGAAATCCTACCGAGCCCACGCTCCCGAAACCCCGCTCAAGTCTCCCTCGCGCCCCACGGACAGAGGATGCGTGAATCCGGGGTTACCAATATGAACCGCGAATGTAAATACCTTCATATACTACTACAGTTACCAAACATGAAAAATAAAAAACTGAAATAAGTCACTTACCAGTTGTGAATCAATCCTCTTTCCGCTCCCGAATGTCGACCGCTGAAGATCCAACCTCTGTAGATTTGAAATTTACAGCAATATGCTTTACATTTGCGTCAAATGTCATGCAACCCCAGAATGCATTGCAGTTTACAGCAATATGCTGTATTATTAGAAAAACAGCCTGCTGCTGTAAAATATTAATGTAATTTTTACAGCAATTTGTTACAGTGTATGTACATTAAATACTAGTACTACTACTACTATTAATAATGATAATAATAATAATAATACATTTTGTGTGACATGGACATTGCATATGATCCATACTGTTTACAAATTCACAGACATAATTTCAGAAGAACAATATCCCATGCGATACTCGTCTGATAATAAAAAAATTCAACTCAACAAAATTGTCATTCAAATAAATATTTTTAAAAAAAATGTTTTACTGGTCTGTTGTTCTCCCATATGATTACATATCAGCTAATTTTCTATTTCTAAATGACATGTTGTGCCTTGTTATAGTGATTCCTTATCACATATTAACTATTCATGTTGTGTTTTTGTTAAATGGGGTGCTATTACTAATGCCACTCATACACTACGCACTTCTCAAAGTTGTTGGATTGCTTTTCTTTTCACACTATAATCCAGTACACGGTACATCTCTTGATTGATTCAGTTTCAGAGAAAGTGATACTAATTGTGGTAAATGTGACATGACTCGAATAGCTGTAATTTTCTATTACAAGGTGTGTACAGATAAACAAATAACTTTTCCTCAGAGACCTCATGTCCGGCAGTGGTTCACAAAAGGCAAGATGCAGGTATAATTGCAGCAGTCAATATCATTATGAAACCAAACACACTCAGGAGCACTAAGAAAAATCACCAGAGAAACAAAACTAAACACAAGGAGGAAACACATGAACCAATGGAAACAGAAAACACGTCAACTTAATCATCCTCAAAGACAAAACATAACCATGCCATGACATGGCTCTATCAGGTTTCATTATAGGAGTGCATAAAATATGACTATTGTCTTCTAACTTTCATTTTCAGATAAATTGGGCTTGCTGATTTGCCTTTTTTTATTATTATTATTTTATAAAAAAAAATTTTATACAGTGATTACATTTCACACAGTATTCAATTTGTTACAGCACACCGGTTGCCATAATTATTAATAATTGAAAGCAGCCTACATTATGGATATATATATATATATATATATATATATATATATAT